TTACTAAATAATTTATATACCAAAGAGAGAAATCGTATGGCTATTTATTGACTTAATAAAAGCAGAGCTACTAATTAGACTAAAATTTTGAAGAAAATTGTTTAAATTTTAAATCTTTTCTGAATTCCACTAAAGGATCCAAATAGGTGGATTCAGTAAAGTCCAATGCCAAATACCTGTGGTAACCAAAAAATTAAGTGTAGTTACATTAATTATCTGTCAACTTTGTTAAGTATATTTGCAGCCCATTAATTTAAAAATATTTTTTTTATTTTTAACATTTTTTTCTCCCGACAATAACCTAAAATCCCGACATTTTCAAATTTTATCCACATATTTTGTTCTTCCGATCTGGCAACCCTAAGTGTATATGTCAATTCTACGTGAGAAGTACAAAGATATCGTTTACTGGATTCCTGATTCGTTCTGGCGTACCTAGATAAGAGTGGAGTGTTATATATACTATTCAGATTTATTATTACTAGTGGTCCCTAAGTACGAACTAAGTTTGTTTTTAATTAAGAGGTCGTCGCCTTTCGTCAACTTTTCCACTCGCACAGGACCACAATATAAAAAATGTTTAAATGATAAGAAGCATTTTTTAAATTTTATTAAATGGCAAAATATAAATAAGTTATTGTTAAAAACACATTTTTTAATGTAGCTTTATTATATTTGTATTTATTGTAAGTTTATTAGATAAACACAAAAAGTTTTTTTTAAATCATTACATATTAAATTAATACTATATTATAGTTTGCCTATTGATTACATTAAAAAAACGCATTTTTAAATTTCAATTTCTTCTTAAATGTGGCTCTGTGCGAACGCGAATAGTCTCAAATGGGATAGCCCTTATAATAAAAACAAAAGTAAAACAAAATTCTGTGATAAATGGTAAAAATTACGGTATCTGTACTAATTGTAAACTGTAAACACATATTTGTTAAATTCGTTATGTTTCTTTTATGAATAACCTACTTTGATTAGTACCTACTGTGTTGTGTTATTTTGGTGTTTAGTTTCGCAAACATGCAAGATATGCATAGTCTAAGATTCGTTTTTGATTATTTAATCTTAATTTCATGAAAATAAGTAATTGATAATATTTTAAAATGGATTTTACTTAAACCTTTTTCGAAGTGAACATTGACCTTTATATTATTCCAGTACGTTATTGTGTTATCGTGTGTTATTTCTTCCAGTGCGTTATTTACACTTTTTTACGACCTTACCATACCATATAAATAGTCTTATACAAGTAGTATTATGTATCGAAACAAAAAAAAAGAAATCCGTATCCTGTCTTTTACCATAGTAAGAGGTACCTGTATGCTAAGTTTTATTAAAAATCTTTCAGCCTTTTGAGCTTGATTCAATGACAAACATCCAAACTAACGTAACATTCACAATTATAATATTAGGTACTAGTTTTTTTCGCGGATTCACCCGCGTGGAGTTCGGAAAAGATATTACGAAAAATCACAGCCAATGTTATTCTGAAAATTAAAACGGAATAAAAAGGTAATCATAGTATTTCGTTCCACATCTATCCCACTGGAACCGTGCATTTATCCGAAATAAAAAGTAGCCTTTGTAAGTTGCCTTTCCCCTAACCATAAACTATATACAAAAAATCATATCGATCCGTTGACAAACCATCAAACACACTTTCACATTTTAATGTTAGTATTGATATTACAAGGATTATAAATTTATAGGTAATATAACCGAACACTGTCATGTGAAAATTGATTGTAGCAGTGGTTATGAAACAATTACACATTCCATTCGTGTTACGTTATTAGTACCTACTATGCTCGTAAGTAGGGATCCAGGTCTTAAAACCGAAAAGCCGGACAAACCAGCGAGTTTAGCCGGACATTTTTGTAAAGAGGACTGACACCCTTAATTTTTTAGTCTTAGTAAAACGAATTTTTTTTAAAGTAAAACAATGCTCTTTATCATTTGCCATAAAATCTTCAGTTCTAATGAAATAACATCAATTGAATGAGTCAGTCTTTCTTATATCATCAATCAATATTCATTACAATTACAATATTAATTTCAATAATTGCAATACTATGTATGTAAGTACATGAAAAATGTAAAGAAATGGTAAAATATAAAAAGCCTAACAATAGCCGGACAGGCCGGACGCCGCGCCGTCTCATTTTACCGGACACGCAACCAAAAAGCCTGACCCGCGAGTTTTTAATATCACAGTCGTCCAGATGATGATGAGGATGTTGTTGCCTATATGCGTCTATATCTACTTAGATTAAGGATCAGAATGCGAAGGTAGTCAGTCGTTGGCGATAAAAAGGGCACAACTGCGTTACTCTCGTATTATTTAAGAGCGTGGTCCATTCTGCTCGTGCTGCAGCCATTATACAATGCAGTGAACTCTAGGACTCTACCATGTAAAAAAGTCCTTGTATCCTATGGGTAACCGCGCTCGCTATTGAGCGGATTGCTTGCTCTTTCGTCACCACAATTATAAGAAAATAACCATTTAAAGATTTTCTTATCGCGATCACAATTTTCCGTGACAAAAATATTATTCTTTTCGTTAAGTAAAGTTACGTTGCATTAGCGTTATATATTAAGTTAAAATGTGCCCAAGTTTTGTGCAAATATTGTTTAGAGATGCATATAGTTCAATTCCAGTCTTTTAAATAGTTTTATAATAATATGTCTGTGTGTGCGTGTGTTCGTTCGTAAGTTGGTGAATTTTTTCGTTTTACATACATATCTCGAAAGGAAATGATATCTTTTCCAAACCAATTTCCTTCGACGCTTATTTGCATAACATTGATTTTAATTAATTGAATGAGCGTTCGAAGGCTGAACGTTCGCCGTAAATTTCACAATGTGCGAGCAACTCGGGTTAGACCCCCCATTGGCGCCAATGAAATTGTTAATTTGAGGTGCTGATTTATCATTTGCTCGGTGGTAAAGAAAAATATCGTAAGGTAATCTACATGCCTGAGAACTGTAATAAAAATATTTCGGTGGTTCCTTCGTTGCCCTAAAATCCTCTTACAAATGAGAGAGCCGTAAATAGACCGTATCTTTACTTTTTATTTGCATTAAAAAAAACTAAATTTTCACTCAAATCGATTTTCATAATCGATTCGATCGGCCAATTTTCTAAACAGAAAATTTTATGGTAATAGTGACGGCCACAGAAATCGTATTAATAAGACAATAGAAATGAATTAGCGCTCGATTACTTACAAAACCGATATCGCCACATCTTATAGATACAAGACTCGCACACACTTGCTACCGGTAACACCGGTGAAGTATATAGGACACTAGCTATTATGAACCTTAATTTATAGTAATTACACTGCATCTTACTCCAATATATAGTGATACACCACTGCAAGCACTTTCGATGTGTGAGGGTAAACAGTACATGGTACAGTAAACAGTAGTTTGATGTGTAAACAGTACTTGGGATTGACAAAATTTTTTGAAGGTGTCGATATTCTTTTTAAATATTAAAATGGATTACAAGTAGCAAAGAAAACCATAGATATATACCATGATATTTTTTATTTTAACGGTAAAGAATTATGGGACTTATTATTTAAAATCAAGCTATCTATTAACAGTCAGAATACTTAATTAATGGAGGTTATAGCGTAGTTAAACTTACGAAATAATTATGTTAGAATGATATAAATATTGAAATAAGTTTAATAGAGTGGTGAGCCCTATTTTTTTTCCTTTATATTTACATAGTCGTCAACTATTAACCTTATCCTTTACACTATGTTTGAAAATATAATTAATTATATTGGGTACTAAACAAGTATATGTAGCAGTACCTAGCAATAAATACTGTCAGCAACTCTACGAAACGATTTTATTGACCCGTAAAATGAAGAAATGTATTTAAAAACTGCCTTTTTTACTTTTGTATCGCATTTTTTTTTTTCAAAATAACTTAAAAGGAAATGCATATACTTTTCCAAAGCGCATTTAATAAATTGGACTATGTAGTTGTCAACAGTATATTGATCATACTGATGGTATCGATTTTTTTTTTTCAAAATAATTTAAACGGATATGCATATACTTTTCCAAAGCGCATTTAATAAATTGGACTATGTAGTTGTCAACAGGATATTGATCATACTGATGGTATCGAATTTTTTTTTCAAAATAATTTAAACGGATATGCATATACTTTTTCAAAACGTATTTAATAAATTGGACTATGTGGTTGTCAAGAAAATATTGATCATACTGATGATACAGAATATCCGCAAATATTTTTGTGGCAACAAAATGACTCAATGCTCTCGCAAGAAAGTGGTCCTTGAATGTTTTGTATTTTTACCATTTTGCCGGCCAAAATTGTTTTTTTTTTAATAATTTCAGCTTTAAACATATTTAGTTATAACATCTGCACTTGGAATTATTAGGCCACCATTGTCTTTTTATCATCATTATCACATCTCAATAAAGCTGAGACACATGTATCACATTTTTTTAATAAATAATGTGCAACGGACCCAGCTATATCCGTCACGAATTGCTGTCGAAATTCCGATATATATTGACATCATTATTTCACAACATTTTATAAAAATAGCTTTGATTGTTCATATCTTCCTCCGGTTTGTAATTTCAAAGCGGCGTCATGGTGGTTATATTAATTTTTTGAATGGCTGATGAACGACTTAAAACACTATCAAAATCTTTTAATTCAATATGTGCTTTATAAATCGACATAAATTGTCACGCTGTGGGATTGTTATTACAACATCCATGTGCTCTTATATGACCAAAACTCAGTTCAAGGTGATCTTAATATTACAAAGAATGGGATGTTTACTAATTTTAACTTTGGCTTTAATCACATTTAGTGCTTCTGTTGTGAATCCTGGTTCGGCATTAATTGAATTAATGAATTTTGTTCTTACAAATTCGTAAGATTTAGGAAAGTAAAAATGTAAGGTCATCGCAAAACTTCTTAGATTCTCTTAAAAATTTAGCACGCGTATTTTTCCTGATTGTAATGTTAGATTATATCTGCTATTCAAATCTTGTGTGGTCAAATTCATGTTTTCTAAAGACAAAGCCTGCTCTCCAGTTATTAAGCGCTTGTTCTCTAAATTCTCTAGCATGTATTTTAGTTCCAGATTTTTTTTCTTATATCGCCGAAATCTACATTGCAATCTCTTAATCATTAAACGCTGTCTTGTAATTACACCTTTATTTGTCTCGATTATTCGACGTAACTTCTTTTCTCTGGGTGTTTCAAGATCAATAGATGGCCGATTCTCCGAGTGCTAGAAGGATAGATTTAAAATAAATAAATTGTTGTTATGAAGCGAAATACGGACAATCAAATAAATCAAGGCTTACATTTGAGGATGGTAATGGGGATACATTTTTGCGTGAAGAAGTAGATGGTAGCGTAGACGTTACCGGCAGAGCGGATGTTGATGGTATGTTTGCTGTGGACTACAAATTTGATATTATAATACAAAACAGTCATATCCCGAACATTCAATAAAATGTATAAAACAACCGAATCGTAAGTTAGTTTAAAGTGATAATCTTAATTTGTCCATAAAATAAATTTGGGAAAAATTACTAGGTTACTAGATAAATTATGTATAATACAGCTTCACTTGAATAAGTTTTCAAAATAATTTAATAATTTGTCACAGTTAGATACACTTATTAGTAAAAAACGAGATATAATATATTTTGATGACAGTTTTCGGGAAGGTTAGTACAAAGTTCGCAATAACACTGTGTTGACCTTCGATCAACAAGTTGACCGCATAATGGTTGCGTTACAGCAAATTCTTTTATTTTTTACATTGTTTTTATGTGTTGACAACTGATAGTATTAAAACTTACATTTTCAGAGCATAGCTTCCATATATTCAATGTGGGTATGCTTGATTGCAATAAATTGCGTCTTTTAGCAGTGACATTAAAATCCTCTTCCTGAAAATGGACTGAGCAGATTCGACTATTTTCTGTAGGGAACCAGTCCTGTCTACCCGTAATATTTATCCATTTTTCTTTAATATCAGGATCTTTCGGGAATCTAGAAATAAGTGATAATTATGTTCTAGTAAATACAATTATTTATACTTCCTAAAAAGACAACTTTTTCCTTACATTTATCAGCATGCTAAACATTTATAGACATTAATACGCAAACTTAAACAAATAATTACATTCTTAATGAAATTATTGTATATTTGTTATTAGGAATATATATATATATATATATATATATATATATATATATATATATATATATATATATATTTCGAATATTATTTTCAAAATCCTGAAATATATTATTTATACAAACATCGATATAACCCGTACTTTCATTCAAGTTAATGATACGGTTACATCACTAATCACTATCGTGCGACCAATGTCTGCAGCCGTATTATACGCAATGCACAATGATATCTAATGTAATTGCTTGGCGACTTTGTCAACAACGTCGCGTGCGTCGCGTATTACGGTAGAAAAAAAGCAGCAATGGTAATTGTACAATACGAAAAGTAATTACTTTAAATTTATAAAGGTATCACCGTAAAGTATTCATCTAGATGTAAATTAACACAACTGAAAGATCAACAACATCTAGATGTAAAGTTAAAACAATGATAATTAGTAAATAATCGACTTACCGATGAAATGTTATGCCTTTATTAGTTGAATTACACGTCCTCGATGAGTTTTTACAACTGATTATGCTGCAGTTCACCATTATAAAATTATAATAACATAAATTCACGTACTTACGACGTTCTCCGCACAACTAAATCACACAATGGCGAATGATGTTCGTCAACACATAGTGACATCATAGCGGCGACAAGGTCGCGCGTCTATGCTACTTCTATTGGGTATGTTCCGAAATACAACGCAGTGTACTGTCCAATGCAAATGACGTCATCATTTGACACTTTATTGTACTGGCGTGCCGCTGCCATATTGTGTCTGATATCCGGCCATAATAAAACAATTTTTAATTGTGTGTTTGCCGAATGAAGCATGCCAGAATTTGTTTCTATTTATTCAAATACAAAAAATTATAGAATAATTGATAGTATATCCATTAGGAGGATATAATGATTTTTGGAGCACAAAATGACAAAATAATCGCCAACACTTTTCCAAATGGCGCAAAAGTATGACGTCATAAACTGTCCAATGTTTTGGAACGAATCACCAGTATAGCGTCGATTCATGACGTCATTTGCATTGGACAGTACACTGCGTTGTATTTCGGAACATACCCATTGTCCACTATTATTACGATTTCTGTGGTGACGGCGCGGCGGACCAAACATTTATTTGAATTCATGGCATATTATCTCTGGCTGTTCATTAGAGATTTGTTTATAAAGTGTAATGACAAACTAAGTTAGGCCACCTGATGGTAGGTGATAGGTGTTACCTGTTGCAATATGGTTTCCTGAATAGTGCCTTTGTTTTGGTTATTGTTATTATATACTTCAACTAAAGCGTGTAACAACACCAAGTTAGAAGACATAAAATTTTTAACACCGAATTTAAAAATGGCTAAGATGTAATGTATTTTTTATTTTATTTTATAGGATAAGGGTTCGAACGAGCACACATTCCATCTGATGATAAGTCCATAAACATCTACATTTGTCTTCAATTAAGAATCAAAATGCAAATGCGTTGTCACCGCTATGGACTGAGATGTAATGCCTCGTTTCCAATAAAAAGAGTATCCGGTTCTCTACACTCACCATACGTAACACAGCAGCATTAAGCTGCTATTTTACGCTGGTATTTTGCGAGAGCGTGGTCCTACTCAAGTCAAGCCGACCCATACTGATTATGTTTAATGTGACCAAGAAAACCCTGTAATTATTTATGTGCGCACTTTGTCACAGTGATTTGAAGTCTAGGATAAGTCTGTAACTTTTTTCTTATTTCTTCTAAACACAGAAATTATATAATGATTTGTTATATTTACGCGAACACTACACATTTAAATAATACTAGTTTTTACGGATTTTATCACGTATATTCAACTATAAATACTGGAGTTGGGCCGATTAGTACTTTGGCCGATTGGCCGATTAGCCGATTAATCGGTTAAGAAATGGCCGATTAATCGGCCCAGCCGAACCCTATCCTATGATAAATTCAAACGGTGGAACAAAAATTCTTCCAGATATCCAGAAATGTCCCGTTTAGCCAAAGTTTTCCTTTGCTGCCCCGCCAGCTCTGTGTATAGTGAGAGACTTTTTTCTGAGGCAGGGAATATCTAGTATCTATGAAACAAAAAGAAATTGACTTCAACCAGAAAAGGCTGAGATTTTGGCCTTTTTGCATCACAATTTGCCACTGGTTAAAAATAACAAATAAATTAAATATTTTCTAAAAAGCCTTCAATACTTTCTCAAATCGAGTATTTCTTTTTAACAAATTATTAGATGATTAGGTGTAGATTCTTTATTTAATAACATTAGAGGAAAAAAAACAATTTATTGTAATTTTAAGTACATAAAAATAACAATTTGATTTAATTTTTAGTACAGAAACAAGTATGTTCTATTTGTCTTTTAAAAATCTGTATGTGTGTAGTTAAACAAACTTTATTCAAGAATTAAGTTTTTTTTTTGTTATGCAAAGGGAGAGAGACTTAAAATTTTTTTTTATGTTTATTAAGAATAATATTATTAATATTTTATTTTGTTGTGTCACTACTCTGCATTACGATTAGAAAAAGTTAAAAAGTAGAATTAAAATAGTAAGTACGTAGGTTTTTGTTTAGTTTTAAATAGCTTCCTAAGATTCTTTTTTTTTACCAAAGTTCCTATGTCCGGAATAATTAATATTAAAACGTGTGATACTGATTTTTTAATAAAAGTTACGTATGAACCTACTTATTTTATTATTTATTTGATTTACCTACATATAAATCTGACGTGAGTTTACGCATGGAGAGAGGAGAGAAACTATACTTTTCTTAAATTTAAAGCTTTACTCATATCAATGTAACCGCAGTTACCACGCAAAAAAACTTTTGCTGAAATTAATAACATAAAAAACCAATCAATTGGCCATTTTAGCCGATTAATCGCTGACTAATCGGTGACTACAAATAGGCCGATTAATCGGCTTAACCGATTAGTCGGCGGCTAATCGGCCCAACTCTAATAAATACCCGACGTTTTGAGCGCTTTACAGCACCCATGGTCACGGGAGGGACCATGGCCATGATGTTAAATATACGCGATAAAATCCGTAAAAACTAGTATTAATATTATTTAAACAGTAGTTTATCAAACTACTGTTTAAATAATAAATGAAAATATGTACTACTACGTGGAATATTTATCATACCAGCTATTCTGATCAGCCGGCGCTCGTGCGAGCCACGGCTGCAACACAATGGTGCGTTGAAAATATCGCCATTTTCCTTTTTTGAGTAGATTTATAAGTTGTTTTTTTGCAATATTAGTTTTGTAATATAATGACATGAATAGACATATACATGTTATTAAAAATTCTGATTGGTAAGTTTTAGTTGAGTACTTCACAAACATATATTTATTAGGTTAGGTCCGTACTTGGAGGATGTGTGCTAGACTTTTCTGCAAAACCATTTTTTTGTATGTTTCTTTTTTCACGTGGCAGAGCTACGCTGCAACTGTACTCGTATTATAGTTGTAACACGAATGAGTCTGCTCGACTGGGGCAGGACCACGCTCTCACAGAACACCAACGTAAAATAGCAGCGAAATGCTACTGTGTTTCGTTTGTTGAGTGTACTGTAGAGAACCGGAGACCTTTTTTACTGGAAATGAGGCATTCCATCTTAATCCTTACGGGTGACAACGCATTTGCATTTTGATTCTTAATCGAAAATAAATGTAAATTTTAAATGTCTATGGGCCACAGCAGCCTCTTACCATCAGGTGGACTGTGTGCTCGTTTGTTACCCTATTCTATAAAAAAATCTATATTTATGCTACAACCATAATATGCTGCAGTGTGGCTCTATCACTTGGACAAAAAGAGTATATAATATAGAGTATATATATATATATATATATATATATATATATATATATATATATATATATATATATATGTGTGTGTGTGAAGAGTAATTAATGTCTCGATTTCATCATGTTGAAATTATATTATAATCGTTGTAGTTGTTTGAAGTTGGCTTGTACTTTTTACAATTTACAATTATAAAGTCTGCTAAAAATGGTAAGATGGTGAACGAATGAGTGACTGTCTATATTTAGATACATAATGACTGCACTGCACTGATATGAAGCTGATAACTCTGAATAATGTAATAAATAATCATCCCTCCCGGCGAACGGACTACACAGGCAACGATCTCTATTTATGTATAAATGTATTCTACTCTTATGGATGCCACACATGATCCAGTTTACCGTCAAGTTTGCAGCGCGCTTGAAGCAGTCTCCGGTAAACTTGACGGTGTATGGCTATCAGTGTGCATGACAAGTCTACTTGAAGTAAAAACTGAATTTGGATTCTACCGACTTGATCAAGCTTGTAGCGTCATGTAAACTTGAACGTGTGTATTGGATGCCATACACGATCCAGTTTACCGTCAAGTTTGCAGCGCGCTTGAAGCAGTCTCCGGTAAACTTGACGGTGTATGGCTATCAGTGTGCATGACAAGTCTACTTGAAGTAAAAACTGAATTTCGATTCTGCCGACTTGATCAAGCTTGCAGCGTCATGTAAACTTGAACGTGTGTATTGGATGCCATACACGATCCAGTTTACCGTCAAGTTTGCAGCGCGCTTGAAGCTGTCTCCGGTAAACTTGACGGTGTATGGCTATCAGTGTGCATGACAAGTCTACTTGAAGCAAAAATTGAATTTCGATTCTGCCGACTTGATCAAGCTTGCAACGTCATGTAAACTTGAACGTGTGTATTGGATGCCATACACGATCCAGTTTACCGTCAAGTTTGCAGCGCGCTTGAAGCTGTCTCCGGTAAACTTGACGGTGTATGGCTATCAGTGTGCATGACAAGTCTACTTGAAGCAAAAATTGAATTTCGATTCTGCCGACTTGATCAAGCTTGCAGCGTCATGTAAACTTGAACGTGTGTATTGGATGCCATACACGATCCAGTTTACCGTCGAGTTTGCAGCGCGCTTGGAGGAGTCTCCGGTAAACTTGACGGTGTATAGCTATCAGTGTGCATGACAAGTCTACTTGAAATAAAAACTGAATTTAGATTCTACCGACTTGATCAAGCTTGTAGCGTCATGTAAACTTGAACTTGAACGTGTGTATGAGTGGTCAAGTATGCATAACGTTAGTCGGAGCAATAAGCGGGAGACGCCATAGTTTCAACTGGTGCGGCATCATGCTTACTTGACGCCTAACTTGAACGTGAGTGGTCTGGTCTATAAGGATGCACTGCAAATTGGACGCCGCTTCAAGCGCGCTACAAACTTGACGGTAAACTGGTTCATGTATGGCATCCATTAGTGCGTTACATGAAAATCTATAGTTTGATATTACCATATTAGTAGCCTAGTGGCGGTAAATGAACACAACGTAAGATGTGTCTTCAAAAAAATAAAACCTGCACACGAATACGCACGCGAACATTCAAGCAGACCGTTCCTTATTAATTTCCTTGTAGCGAATTTTTTTATATTACCCCTTCATTTGAAAATTATATCTGGAAGGAATATTTTGACGAAAGATCAAAAAAGAAGGGTATATGGTACCGTACGATCCAGCTGTACCCAATGCGCTCAACCTGGATAGATACCCGAATATTGTGTAGACGCGACACTGTAATAGCATTAAGACTCAGATACTAACTACCTCACCAAATTGATCAACTTGCAGTGTTATCAATGATGTTTATCACATTTTGATAGAATGTGCCCAGAACTCCAGAGAAAGAAAAAATTGTAATTTACATTTGTCATTGATTGGCAGTAGGTACTAATAGTATTTTATCAGATGATGCTAAAAAACTTTATGTGTGAGATTAAATAATTAATAAGTTTATGTGTTTAGTATTTATCCTATTTAAGAATTTTGTTGTAACTACCAGGGCGTCATAATCGCATCAGCGACAAAGCCCTTTTTCTAAGATTAAAAAAACGTATCATTTACAATCTAAAAGAAGTATATTATTTTACATTCTTCCAAGGGCGTGTTAAAATTACGTTAATCATTGCGGGTATACAAAAATATCGTTACTGCAGTGTGATTCACACAAATTATCAGCTGGCCAGAACTGTTACTGACGTTTTATTTAAATGTTTTGAAATGTTTTATGTGTTTGTTTAGTGTAACGTTTATCTCGAATGTTTTATGTTATTTGTAAATTATTATTGTGTTTTATTTAAGTTGTTGACCCAATATTTATTAGAAAAATGACGGAATTATTGAGATTTGAGGAAGTGGAGTCAATCGAAGAAGTATACACATTGAGGTACAAGTGAATCTGTTTCTTTTTATAAAAATTAATTTCATGTCATCGTCACGGTCTTGTTCAATACAAAGGTAAACCTTATATTGAAATAAGGTACCTACAAATACATATCGAGCACCTAAAGAGCCAGTGAATACGCCAGATGTCCATATAAAAAAAATTGTTCCGTTTACAAAAAGTCCCACTATTATCGATTGGTATGTAACTTATTCTAATTAAAGAAGTGTAACTAATAATCCTACTAAAATGAAATTATTATTGATTCCAAAGTGTCATCGGACCCGGGTGGTTAGTGTACTGTGAAATTTACAACGAGGGCTAAGCCCATTGGCTATCAGAGATCATTATCTAGTAATGTTTATATATAGACAAACTATACGAAACAACTGCATTAAGTTTTACGCTGGTATTCTGCGTGTGAGCGATGCGACGTCCTTACACATTGAGGAGACACGTAATACGTGCTGCATCATGCATTGATTTATTATGATACGTCGCATTATGAAAATAGTACTAGGATAGCGGTCATTTGCCCAGTTGCTAACCGCAACTATACCATCACGTTACTACATATCTATCTACACACGTATTAAAGCGATGTGTGTAGATAGTTCGCATGTGTATAACATCAACAAATATACCGCTGTGTGTATCGTAATAGAATCCAAATACCATTGCGTCCATTGCTATTATAGCAATTGCTAATCTGCAGCTTAGCGTGAAAATTACGACAAATATCCCTACTATGGGAGGGGCGTGTGTCTGTGTACGTGTACGATATACTTTACGCGCTGATAATGATACTATTTATGTTCAGTGGATATTATCCACTTCCCTATATCGTACCGTAGGTATCGTAAGACTGAGAGAAACTGGAGATGGCGCAACGTCTTCTTGGTAACAATTCAAAATTATGTTGTGGGCTGGCAAATGGCGAAGAAATCACCCTTATTGGGCAATCTATGGGGGAGGTGTATATTCAGCACTGAAGAGTGTAAATGGATAAATGGATACATTATTTTGTCTTTAAATGGGTCTTTCGAAATTTTGTAAACTTGTTTATGATTTAGTAACATATTTATCTAATTCTTGGCCTTACGTTTTCTAATATCTATTGTACAACTCAACTAAGGGCGAATGTGGCATTCTCTAAAATCCAACCCAGCCCGTACTCTGTGACAATGATAATGATTATGATGAAGATGAACTTGAAAGAAATAGATTGCTTACTTTATAGCTTTTTCCATTATTCCGTTTTGAATTATTTTTCTTATTCCACTAAAAATTCATTTCCTAATTTCAACCGACTTCAAAAAAAGAGAAGGTTCATTATTCGTTGTTTTTTTAATGCATGTTCACCGATTATTCGAAGACGCCTGAACCGATTTGGAAAATTCTTTTTTTTTCAAAGGGTGTACTTTCCAAATGGTTCCATTTAAATTTTATCGAATGGGTTGAGCGGTTTTTAAAAAATCAACAATAAATTATTCATATTGAAATCGGTTGTAATTTTTTTTAATTTTACCAACCACTTGTATGCTTTTTAATTTTTATACAATTTATTTTAATAATATCTCAAAATTGTACAATTTGTATCAAATTGTAATGATCATTTGCAGTACGTTAAATTCCGCATACTTGTAAACTTGAAATATATATTATACTAGTAATTTATAATGTGTATATTAATCACAAATGTTTGTGAGTAAAATGTTTAGACTAAGTTACGTGCAGGACATTTTTTTTTAAAGAATTATTGGTATTGGAACGAATATTTAGGTGTTCCTCTATTAATGCCAGAGTCGGATTCGGAGCCATTTGTCACTACAAAAAGATAATTAAAACCGTATTGGAGCAGTTCTAAATTCGTATCGCGGCTCTGCAAATGTCAAGTAGACAACGCTGCTGAGAATGCGTGCGAGTGTAGCTTGAAAAGTATTATTGTGATGTATTGCATTTAATATGTACTATAGGTGTTAGTTAGTTGATTACAGTGATGCAACTGTCTGTTACAATTTACAATGTTTAGTTATTGTGTCTAAAGGTTTGTGGTTTTCTGAAATCGTTATGACTCAAGGGACATCAAATATACAGTTCAATGTATCACAGGTTAGTGTTGTGATAGATATTGATCTAAATTTAAGTTACTTTATATACTTTGGATTGATGTACATTTTATATACCTATTTAATAATATTAAATATATTTTGAGAGGTCTGTGCTTAGATGTGGGACGAATCTTGATGAATGAAATATGTATAGACAAAGACACAAATTCAAATTAATTTATTTGTTTGCGAAATATGGGTTACAATACATTGATTTATATATTACAATAGCCCTTAAGGGTTGGCTATAGACATCCGGTACTTGATTTTGATAATGTTTTAGTCTAGGAGGCTTGTTAGGGTTAAGTTTGAACCTATCACACTGTTTTTAGATGTCGGAAATGCGTTTTGAATTAATTACGATGAAAACAAATTTCACTAAAAATTGTGTAATAACGAAACGCAAATATGTCAATTTGTTCTCGTATTATGAAGTAAATGTCCGGCACTTGATTTTTTAATTTTGTTTTCAATTTAGGAGGATTGTCAGGGTTAAGCTAGAACCATTTACACTGTTTTTGGATTTCGGAAATGCCTTTTGAAATAATTACGATAAAAATAAATTTCACTAAAAATTGCAATAACGAAACGCAAATATGTCCATTTGTTTTTTTTTAACACAGATATACTCATAAAAAAGTTAATCACTCGGACCCAGACAATCCATTTGTGGGTGGAGACAGGAATTATATACAATAAATTGAATCGCAGTGGAGTGCAGTCAAGAGGTTTCTCAGAAAAAAAAATTATAACAATTCACATTACATTATTTCATTTACCACTATAATAGCAGAGTTAAGGGCAACCAGACTTTATAGATAAGATTGGTCGAATCGGTTCTAAAACCGATAAGTACTCCCCGACTCCACGTAGTCTTGTCTGCCCTACCCCTAGTTTGTAAAGCCGTAGGCACGGAGGGAGAGCAGCCCCCGCCCGCTGTAGCAAATTGCTACCGCGGGCGGGGGCTGAAGCACCTAAGTGAGCCGTAGCGGCTGAGGCTGGTCGGCCAATAAGCCAAAATTGCGGAGGCGAGCATGGGTGCCTGTGATTTGCTACGCAAGGGCGAAGGGGCTGCACTTTCCGCAGTGCAGAAGCCGTTGCAGAAGTGACTTTGCATCAATATTCCTGTATAAAAAAATGAGGTTATGATTTTATAAAAAAAAATTATTAGCCATAAACTATACATTTCCGCAACGGAGAAGGGTAGGGAAGCTTGCCATGACCCTCTCCCCCATCCCAACACCGTACGGCCGTTGCAGAAGTAACTTTTTGTCAATATTCCTGTATAAAAAAGTGAGGTTATAATTTTACAAAAAAAAAATTATTGCCCATAAACTATACCTTTCTGCAACGGGGGCTTCTCATGACTCCCTCCTCTCCCCCTCCCCCTCCCAACTACGTACGCGAGTACCGGACGTCTATAGTTTAAGGCGACACCGTGAAAAAATGCAAACGAAAGTGGAATTTTGATATAAGTAAATTTATGTCTTTATCTTGAATTTGATTGTTCAAAAACACGATTGTATACTTTTGACTCGATCATAATTATTTGCGATAACACCTCTAAAAATAGTTGAAATTATAACGAAATTACTTAATCTATATGTTTGGGAATCACTCAAATATATTCATAACATCAATATTCATAATTTACTTGCTCATTATTTTGATTACTTAAATCAATAATTTAAAAAAAATATATTTTAAGATTCTGACTATTTTAGACCTTATGACGGTGTTTTTCAAGTTTTTATAGAAATTATGTATTCACTCGGAACAGTACGGCGATAGCGTTTCGATGTGTCGTCTTAACCGCTCTTAAAACTGTTGATGTGCAGTACGATCATAATTTGCTTTCACAGGTAATTTTGAGCTTGCTATCAACCATTCGACAAATCCAAATTATTTTATAATAGGTGTGTGCTATATAATAACACTTAATTTTAGACTCCATTTACATTACTTTTTAAATTAAATAATAAATACTGGGAAGCATAAAGAATCCATATACTCGTATTATTATGTAAATAATAACATAATTTAGTTTCTTTATATGGAACACGACGAGCACACAGTCCACCTGATGGGAAATGGTTGCTGTGGTCCAGCCGACCCATTCGTGCTACAACTATACTACTAATATAACTGCTGCATGGCTCTACCACGTATAAAAGTCGACACATACAACTATTTACCTAATTTAGATTAAATTAAGATGCGCCCTTTTTCTTACACATGCAGCATTCAAAGTAATTGTTACAAAGTAACCGTCCGCCAAACTTCAATCTCATAATCACTTTATGACCTTATACTAATATCTACGCCTATGTTGATTTCCAGCAAGTATCCAAAGACAGACTACACGTACTCGCGGCTGTCGCGGGACCGCGTGGAGCTGGCGCCGGGGCAGGTGGCCGTGCCCAACATGTCGCGGCGCTCGCTGTCGCAGTTCCGCGTGCAGGGGCCCCACGCCGACACCACGGACCTGCCCGCCGCCGCCGCCGCCTGGACCACCACCACGGTGCGCAAGAGATACACGGTGAGTAACTGCCACTCTTACACACAAAAATGGCTTCTTTTGGTGTCTAAAGATATAATAATAATCCAAAAACCATCTGACGGGCAAGCTACTCTTATTAACATTGGAATGCTGATTCAGACATTGACTTGCTTGGTATAATTATTTTTTTGAATGTTTAGATCCCAAGAATTATTTTTGAACCTCTAGCTCATTTTCACCTCATAAAAACCACATACTCGTAAATGAGAATAAAAATCTTTTTGCGTAACTGTACCCAACTGATATTTCAATTATTTTGTTTAATAAAGACTGCTGATTCAAATGTAATGAAAACTTTTTTAATATATGTTCATATTTTGCTGAGTGTCGAATTAAATTTGTTTTGAGATCATCATTATCATTATTACAGCCCTTCACAAGTCCACTGCTGAACATAGGCCTCCCCCAAGTAATGTCACAAAGCAGGGTCCTGAGCCAGCTGTATCCATCGACTTCTTGCATTTCTTACCAGATTGTCACTCCATCTAGTGGGGGGATGCCCTTTACTTCGCCTGCCGGTACAAGGCTGCCACTCGAGAAAGTTTTTTCCCCATCGGTTATCGGTTCTTCGAGCTATATAGCCAGCCCATTGCCACTTCAACTTATTAATCCATTGGGCTATGTTGGTCACTCTGGTTCTACTGCGGATAACCTCATTTCTTAGTTTATCACGCAGAGAAGCTCTGAGCATAGTCCTCTCCACAGCTCTCGCTGAGCGACTTTGAGCTTCCTCATACGGCCGGCAATGAAGGACCACGTCTCAGATTCATAGGTCGTCACTGGCAACACGTACTGATTGTACAATCTAGTTTTGAGGTATGCCTGACGAGAAGGTGTGTTATAATCTCCCGAACGTTGCCCAGCCGAGTTGAATCCATCGATTGACTTCTCGGTCGTTAGATTTACATAGTTTCAAGGTAATCCTACATAATATTTAATTTCTTTTTGAGATAATATTTACTCTTTTTAAAAACTGTTAAATCTTACTCTAAGCTAAGGGATATCTAATTTTGTCTTCCAAATATCACACTAGTTAAAAGTTATTTCCTAATGGGAAGTTGAAAACCCTGTCAAATTGAAAAACTTCTTTGTTTTAATTGATAATTTAAATCTTATCATTGCGTTTTAATTTCTACTAAACTAAGGCGTACAACCTAAAATAGTGTAATGTAATTTATTTATCGATAAATATTAATAAAAAAAAGTTGCATATCCTGCTGTCTAGGTATTACTTTAATCTTAAACTTAAAAGTAAATATAACCTCAAATGGCTTAGCAAGATCTTCCGTTTTGCCGAAAATATTGCAGCATTAATTTTAAAATAAATATATGGTAAAGTTGAGGATTAATGTTAAGGACTATGTTAGACGAAAACGCGGTTCCGTAAAATTTTCTCGATAGAAAAAAAAATCCAAAGTTACCTCCAAAATAAACAATAAACCGCTGTTATTCATAAAATACTTTAAGTAAGACCATGAAACTTTGCATACTAACTGAACTAACTATAAATCAGTGCTTATGTTAGTTACCTTTTTTTAAAATACCATTATTTTCACTGTAAAAAGAAATTACCTACATTATCAGCCTCTTGAAGCTTGATTCCTGCCGCCCGGTCAGTTTCGCTTCGGCCTTTGAAGGGGGAGGTTGTGTCGCTTACGATCAGAATACACATTACGCAACAGGACGACGTAAAATTAAAATGGGAAATAATCGTAATAAAAATAAGAAGCGACTGGGTTGGCGTTAAGAAACAGGCATAAATATGATAAACCTAATGAAATAAGTATCTGACTACCTATCTACTTACAGTATTAGTGATTACAAACATGTCGGTACATAGCATACGACGCGCGGGGAAGTGGGGGCGAAATTAGAATTTGAGCTGACTTACTATATCCCCTTAACTTCTTAAAATTTAAGGGGCAATTGATGCAATTTAATGTGATTATTACTATTATTTAACGAACTATTATGATAAATAGTAAATGCGTACTTTTAAAATAATAGTTGAGAAATGTTGCTGTTTTATGATCAACAAACGGCCAATAGTTAAATGATAACGCCACAGATCTAGTCGTTAAAGGACACTATTATTATGTTTGTTTTGACTCGATTTAGAAGATGATTCGTTGGTTTTTGGTAAGAAGAATGTAAAAAACAAACAAATGGGTCGTCTTGTTGTGTGTTTGATGCACTATTAATAGGAATTACAATTGACTTTTGACTTCCATTACTAGGAGTCTGAGATGGCTCCCCCCTCTTAACTATTTCTGCAGCTAAAAAGCAGTGCCTGTGTTTTCATCTGAAGTGTATAGAGAACTGGTATGATTACAGTCTGAGGTGTCCACACACATCAATATTAAATCTATTCCTCGAAGGTGAGAACCATCTGGAACCTTCTTTGTTTGCAGTTGGCTCCAGGGGTCTTTGGACTGCAGTAGCCATTTACTATGGATTTTATTCATTCATTGTTATCCTTCTAATATCTGATAGAAAAAAATTAATTTAAATTAAATTTTTCCATTACTTGTTCCAGACGATAGATAGTTCGGATGACGAAACTGCATATCTTCACAAAGGGACATATAATGCGGCGGATAATCGTTGGTGGCTGACACGGTTGCTGGTCACCGTCATCACCACAATCACTACTGCCACCAGTAATACCTACAGGAAAATTGTTGGACCTTCACATAGGTATCCATACACTGACCGAAGGCCTGCTAAAGGTAATTAAATATAGGATGTATGTACTTTAAGAGCTTCTTCGTCTTTGACTTTCGGCAGTCATCACTATCACATATCATCTAAGCTAGTTATTTAGTCTAAATCTTGTTGGTTTTTATGTGTGGACCATCAACCATCATCAATAAAACCACTCTCTTCAGACAGGTATTTTTTATAAATAATCTAAAACCTATATTTGTCATCTTATACAGGCCATTTGCACATGAGGTTGATTTAATTGCAGATAAGCGGTCATAGGTCTTGAGCAAATTCCTTTTTCCTCTATAATGAATATAATAATTATATCAAGTGGCAGTGTGTTAAATGGTGAGGTAATTTATCTTAGTCTGTAGTGGTGACCATGCACCTCTTAACTTATTAGTTTAAAAAGATACAAAAGCAGTTTAAATTTTAAACTTTAAAAATGTGGAAACCCAATAATGTATTTTTGCTTCACAGGTGATTTTATGTCAAGAGCAGCTACCACACTGGGTGCACCATTCTACTGGATCTACTCTGTGGTGAAAACATTAGTCACGACCACAGTCACAACCGTCACTGAAACTGTAAGTTTTCTTATATTAAATGAACATAAAATATTAGTAAGTTAAGGCTATGTATATATCTTCTTAATATACTAAAAAAAAACTACATGTCACGTTGTTTGTCCGCGATGGACTCCTAAACTACTTAACCGATTTTAATCAAATTTGCACACCATGTGCAGTTTGGTCTAACTTGAGAGATAGGATAATTTTTTTGCCCATGAGTGACTCAAAGTTTTATTTTATTTTTTGCGAATTTAAGGATTTTAATAGGACATGACAAAGGATAGTCGAAAAGGGCAGGACACCGTCTGCCTGTATATATATATATCATCATCATCATCATTACAGCCCTTCACAAGTCCACTGCTGAACAAAGGCCTCCCCCAAGCAACGCCACAAAGCACGGTCCTGAGCCACCTGCATCCATCGACTTCCTGCATGTCTTACCAGGCCGTCACTCCATCTAGTGGGGGGTCGCCCTACACTACGCCTACCGGTACGAGGCTGCCACTCGAGAACCTTTCTTCCCCATCGGTTATCGGTTCTTCGAGCTATATGGCCGGCTCATTGCCACTTCAGCTTACTAATCCGTTGGGCTATGTCGGTCACTCTGGTTCTACTGCGGATATCCTCATTTCTGAGTCTATCACGCAGAGAAACTCCGAGCATAGCCCTCTCCATAGCTCGCTGAGCGACCTTGAGCGTCCTCATACGGCCAGCGGTGAAGGACCACGTCTCTGATCCGTAAGTCATCACTGGCAACACGCACTGGTTGTACACTTTAGTTTTCATATATATATATATATATATATATATATCGTGCAGCTGGGCGTAAGCTTTTTATAATTTCTGAGAGAGTTTTTAAGCCAAAGAAGTGTACGCCGCGCTGCCCCAAATCTTGTTGTAATGTCTTCGAAATTTTTTTTCACACATGCAGATTTCCTCATGATAATTTCTTTCACCACCAAGCTCGTGGCAAATCAGCACTTAAAATTGCAATTAACAGTTTCATTGGAGTCGGCTAGGATTAAACTCGACTGATAAAATGTTTATAACAATCAATATTTATATTCTGATGGCATAATGTTTTTAAGATAAGTAGATGTTATTGTAATTTGCATTAAAACTTTTACAGATAATGCCTAACCATGTGGGTGAGAATGAGAAATACATGACACGCAGTTATCAATCTAAGGCGGATTCTAACCGCCGGATGTGGCCCTGGATCTTGCTGCTACTGCTACCTATGATGGGTTATGGATGTAAGTTTTATTTCAAAGTAAGATCATTCACCTGTCCATTACCGTCCACAAATCCACTGCTGAACATAAGCCTGCCTCATAGATGACTCACAGGGGGCCATAGTTGCTATAGTTGCCACGCCTGACAGGTGTTGGACTGCAGTTTTTTTTTATTATTTTAGTTGGTATCGGAAAGACATTGCTGTCCATCTCCTGTTTCAGTTTTCCTTTGTCGCCTCTTGTGATAACCACGGGACGATATATAGCATACTATAATACACAATAGAATGGCTGTCAACTTTATTTTGTACGAGAATTGACGTCGCCGGGAGCACAAATACTAGCAATTACGTCATATTATCACTACTACAAACCCGATTCGCTGTATTGACAGACTGAGTAAATTTAAACATTTTAGAGTTTTGATTAATGTTCGAAATCATCATTAAAAAAATCGTTTTATTTTTAATCCATATTTGTTTGTAAATAGTGTGCAATTTGGTATTGTCTAAATAATTTGCATGCGAAATTTGGAAACGATTGTTACTTCAAAACACATCTCGTGTTGACATTTATATGTGTGAATTGACGTGTTAGTGACATTTTAGTGGCTACACGGGCTTCGCCCACTACCCCGTTCTATTATGTATGCTTTATAGTATTCTATAGGACAATAATATAGCGTCGTGAATATCCGTTCACCGCCATTACACGGCAACAGCAAGCAAAAGGAAAAAAAATTTGATATGTTGATAAAGACTATTGGTTTCTTCAATTCTAGGTTCTGTCGTTCTCTAAAAACTATTTTGAATAAATATTTTAATGGTAATTATTGAACCACAAACCATAAAAACATGGTTTCTTGCGACAGTGGGCATGCCTATGAAGTCCTGAATTAGTGCTTAGTACATACAAAGTACTGACATTGTCAGTACTGTCTGGGCATGCCGACCTAAGATTCAGGTTCAATTAGGCGTGATTTTACTGACAGCTGTCGCAGAGATCAAGATATCTTTTATGAACTATAAATAATTTTGTATCCCGGCCCATATTGCACTAAAATTTTACGATTCAAGTACCTATTCATTATCCATTTTAATCTTGACGTTTAGAAAAATGTTATCGCTCTTATTTGTGTAAGTTAACTTTAGGAAAAATATCACCATTATGTTTCTAAATATTTAGATAAAATGGCCATTTGAGTTAACCATAATAAGCACCGCTTTTGTAAGTGCCAAGCCGATTCTTTATCTATTATGCTGCTTTCCAATCATCATCAGCAGAGTAAATTGATTTCTACATTTTTTAGGTTCTCTCCCACTAGACAGTAGCCAGAAGTTTGCCCACAGTACACACGGTGTACCTTGTTGTATAGGTGTGGTTAACATTTAGTTGTAGTTTGCATGTTATTTGTTACCACAGATAATTCATCAATTACTTTGTATAGTTTGTGTCAGTGCATTTTTAGTGAATGAGCCACGTTGTAACTGTATGTATCATGGCTAAAGCACGAATGGATTGGCTCGAATGTGGAAAGACCACACTCTCGCATGATAGTTTGAAATATAGAGAGCATTGAGAACTGGCGTTGTCTCACTCCCTTGCCTCGGAAAGCACGTAAAGCCGATGGTCCTGCGCCTATTCTCTCACCGGTCGTGTCGGTTTACAGTCCCATAGGATTATGAGAGTGAGGGAATAGAGAGTGCACCTGTGCTTGCGCATACACTTGGGCACTATAATCCTGTCCTGCGCCGATGGCTAGCCTCCGCTGAGGCAGGCCGCCGTGGCCGAAATTCGGTCTGGAGGACATTATTGAGAACTGTTGACACTTTACTGGTACTAAGCATTCTATTTAGTCCTCTGGGGTTTGCATTTGCATTTTTATTTTATTTAAGCCACAACTTACCACTGGTTAGACTGTTTGCTTGTTTGTCGCCGTTCAGTTGTTTTACGCAAAATAAAAAAACAACAATTCTTTCAGTGAACTACACATACAAGAACTTCGACCATCTGGCTATGCCAAACTTTACCGATTTCCAATTAGATTTGTCAGAGTTTTACGCTTCGGAATTCCCAAAAATCTCGTGGCCAGCGCTCCCGAACATATCACTATCAGAATTAAACGTGTTTCCACGCATCAATCTGACGTTGCCGGAGATCAATATCACCTTACCAGATGTAACTGAAAATCTGCCACAAGTGTCCAAAGCTTACAGAGAGTACAAGGATATTGTTCAAAACAGAATGACAGATGCTTCAGATTATTTGTCTGTTGTGGCTGGGAGTTGCTACGAGGAGATGAAGCGGTTTTGGCGTGGAGTCATCGGATGATTGTGAATCCACAACGTAACGACTTTCGCGTTTTGAAATTAAAATATAGTTTGGTTTTGAAGAAACATTCGGCAAACATTATAACCAAAGTCTGAGCGGTATTTGTTTTTTTTTTTTTAATTAAGCTTTAAAAGTATACCAAATTATAGTTAAAAGTATCTAAGCTATTTTTTATCTTTAAAACGCGAACTTATTCATATATCGTGACTTACTCAGTTTTACTTAATATTTTTAATTTCGTATCATTCATTCATTCATTCCTCTAGAATCCAAAATATATCTACTGTTTTTAATATTATTATATTCTAAAAAATTTAATGATTCAGTAAGTGCAATTAACAATAAAAATATATTTTAGATATAACATTCTTATTATAAAATAAATACCTATGACATGCTCTATAAATTTTTACAATGTTTAATTTCATTATAAATAATTTATTTTTGCTAATGTTTTGTAATGTTAAGTAGAACATACAAGGTGTAGGTGTAAACACCGTTGTCTCTAAAACCATGGGTTGGCTTTAATATAAAAATATTTATCTGAATTTTTAAAAAAACGCTATTTTCTTTCATAAAATTTAAAAAGTTTCTGTCTGACACCGTCCGTAAATTCATCGATACCCTATGCGTCCGAGTGACGTAATCACTGTAAAGATCACCGCCCGCCCTAGCTACCTACACAACATTCCAATAAAAACACAATAGGTACACATAACCTGTGGTGTAACTTTTCCTTCATACTTTCATCCTGGCTTAGGACAGGCAAAAATTGAGATTTTACTAAAAAAATGTTATTTTTCATTGAATTTACGTTCTTTAAATGAAACCAAACCACTGGTTTCAAGGATAACTGTGTTTACACTAACACCCTGTATAATAATTTTATTTGTATACATTTTAGTTATTTTCAAAGTTCACTTAAACAATTACGAGTACAAATTATTTTCTATATATTAAGAAATAATTATTTAATTATGTTAGTGGTGGGTAATATTTTAAACTACTTTTCTTATATATCAAAGTGTTTCTAGTTTATTTGCTTGTGTTTCTATGTGCCATTAGCTATGAAACTTTTAAAAGTTTATTGCATCATTGTACCTGTGTTTTTAAATGTTTAATGAATGATTAATAGCTTTATATTTTTGCGAGAGATTATTATCAAATTACCCAATAACCCCACGTGGATGTTTAGTGTTTTTACAAATTTTATTCAATATATTTAAACAAAATTAACAATATATTATATTTTACATTTTATTATAAATTATATTCTACTGTCAATAAATAAAAAATAAGAACTTCATTTAGCGCCATATTATGTCACAAACTTATACGTAAAAAGGTAAAAGATAGATAGAGATTTTCTTACTATGCTTCAAATTTTAATGCGAGTGATGTTTAAATGTTAATTTATAAATCTAACTATATGTACGAAAGCAGCTACGATTTCTAACTCTATAGGGGTTAAGAGGCTTTATTTATGTCTTTTTTTATTTAAATATATTTTTGTAAGAAAATTTGGGATGTTAATTTTTGTTTCACTAATGCTGGGCTATTGATTTAATTACAATTTGGATAAAACCGTTGTGTTTTTTCTTTTCCTCTCCTAATTTTCCCGAGTTCTTCCCTGTGTGCTAGGGTCCTGTTGAAAGTTCAGGGAAGGATAGAGGTACATAAACATCACCTATACAAAGTGGACGTACTCTGTGGCACGCTACACTTTTAGGTGAGTTGATATTCGTATATTATGTTGTATAGCACTCTGTCCTTCCCTGCTTTCGTTAATTATGTTTTTCGTCTCTATAAGTCATAACACATGGGAAGGACAGAGGAATAAAAACATACATCGAATTTAACATAACGTCTTATTCCAGATTACGTCTACTCAGATCAGTTCATGCCCAGAGAGCAGCCATCTTTAGTAGACACGTACGCGTCTCCAGTGATAGTACAAGATGTTGACCTGTCGAAACGCATCGCGGCTTTGGAGGACTGGGCACTGAATGTCGACGCAAAACTAAAATTTTTCGATCAGAAACTATCGAAGCTGGACAATTTAGAGGCCCAAATAGAGCTCTACTCGGTCAGATATTTGCAGCAAAACCTTATACAGTTGCTGAGTTCAAATGACAATAGAGACGCAGTAGCGGCGAAGTTGAAGGCCTATTTTGATAGCCATTATGTCTCCAATGATCAAATGGAGCAGTTTAACCAAGAAATACACGAAAGACTGAGCAACTCGTGGAAGCCCGATACGTCTGAAGATACTATAAGGCAAATCGTCCAGGAATATTTGTCGACCATGGAGCGACATCAGTTAGAGCTGATAGCAGTTAAGGTGAAAGAGTACGTGAAAGAAATTGAAATGCGATCGAGTGGAGTTAATATAAATACGGAGGAGATAAAGAGGATTGTCGCCGGAATGTTAGACATATATGACGCGGACAAGACTGGACTTGTAGATTATGCGTTGGAGTCTGCAGGTGAGATTTTGTCAAATATAATTTAATTTTTGTTAAAATATCTCAATGTGTAATCATTTCAATTTTTAAATATTTATTCTAGACATTATTAAAATTAATATCATACAATTTCTTAAGTGGAAAAATGTCGAGCATCCCTACCTTTAAGCTTCACGGACTGGTTACGTGAGGCAAACTGACTAAACCTCACTTTTCTACTTCGCTGCATATCAGTAGCGCCACATGGACACACAGACACATGGACACAAATGTTTGCTTTAGATCACTTTTTTATGATTTTTTAGTATTTTGATGCTCATTTCTAGTTTTTTTTTTTTAATATTGTAGATCCAATTTGAATGAGAATGAGAATTTTACATACAGTTGGGAACGCCTTTTACTTTTTAAAAGTTTAATTTTAATAATAAAAATTGACGACTCCGTGACGCAGTAGCTTAGCAATGAGTGATTGCGCTAGGGTTCACGGGTTCGAATCCCGCACGGAACAAGTATTTGTATGGCCTACAAATAGTTGTTCCGGGTCTGGATGTTTGTCCTTGTGCAATTTATGTTTGTAAACTGCCCCCACGATACAAGAGAAAATCCTAGTGTAGGGGTAATGTTTTTTAAAAAAAAAAGCTCAAAGCATTACTAGTAAAATTTTCAATGTTTTGTTTAATTTATGCAGAGAGCACAATGAAAAATATAAGAGATATTGTGGGTCGATAGCAGTTCTAAATAGAGAACGACCTACCACCTCAAGCTCTTTACTGAATAATTTTTTATTTATTTATGCCAATCAATAATGATAAATTTTTCAACGAAACATGTTTGAGTAACCTTGTGTTCTTAACTTTTCAAGTGAGCATAATACAAAATCAGCTGGTTGGACAGCTAAACCTTAATCTAAGCGCTTGCGGACTGCTAGGCGTTATATATAGTATATAATATAGCTAAACAGTCGAGTGACCGATAGCCTTTTCGATAAGGGTTTGTTGAGAGAATCCAAATTCGGCTTGCGCACGAATTGCTTGAGGTAGTATTACGTTGGCACTGTATATCAACATAAAATTGTAGTGTATTTCGTATTGCGAGAACCCAAGATCCTTTTACTGGTAACGAGACAATCGATCTTAGTATTCAGGAATGACAATGCACCTGCATTTTGATTCCCAATTGAAGATAGGTGTGTGTATAAACCTCATCATTCCATTGTCATCAACGGGCTGGGCGTTTTTATAATCCATGCTTCTATATAAAAAAAAATATTTCAGTACAAATATTTTATTATATAACGGTGACGGGCAGGTTTTTATATATAGAATAAGGCACAAGCACACAGCCCACAGCCCACCTGATGGCAGGTGGAAGATGTGGCCCATCTATATTTACCATCGATTAGGAATCAAAATGCATCTGCATTTTGTTGTCATCTGTGAGGACTGAAATGCAATAAATGGTTTCTAGTAAGAAGGGTCTCCGGTTCTCTACACTCATCATGCGGAAAACAGCAGTATTAGTCTGCTTTTTTACGCTGGTATTTTGTAATAGTGTAGATGTACCCGAGTTCGAGTCGACGCATACGTGCTACAACCGTAATATAACTGCAACATAGTTCTACCATATACAAAACGGTATTTGATTTGATTCTTAATGGAAGATAGATAGAGTTGTGTAGTAAAGTAAAAAGTAAAGTTACAGCCTATATACGTCCCACTGCTGGGCACAGGCCTCCCCTCATTTCTGAGAGGGTTTTTTTAGGGCAAGGCAGTGTCCGCCGCGCTGCCCCAATTCGTGTTGGCGAACTTCATATGTCTTCGAAATATTTCTTTTCTTATTCCTCAGATATGCAGGTTTCCTCACGATGTTTTCCTTCACCGCCGAGCACGTGGTAAATCAGCACTTAAAATTGCAATTAACAATTTCATTGGTGCTGGCGGGGATCGAACCCGGGTTACTCGCGTTCTGTTATACTTACAGCGAGCGTTAACCACCTGAGCTACCACGGCTCTCTTTGTTGTATATGATTCTTACTGATTCTTATTGAGTTGTGTATGATTCTTAGTATTTCTTTACCATCAGGGGGACTGGTCATTCAAGTCACCCGTAGTTCTATAAAAAATGTATCGGAGCACAAATTTTTAGTGATATCGGAATGACGGGCAAGAAGTTAATGGTATTAGTGTGGCTTGTACAGGCGGGCAGGTGATATCGACGAAGTGCACGGAGCTGTACCAGGTGAAGACGAAGCAGTACTCGGTGCTGGGGCTGCCGGTGCGCTGGGAGTACACGTCGCCGCGCGCCGCCCTCACGCCGGGCGCGCTGCCCGCCGACTGCTGGGCCTTCCAGGGCTTCCCCGGCTACCTGGGTATGCAGCGCGCTCCACCGCCACACCACACGCTTATATGCATCAACTCCAACACAACAACGTTTACGTGAACCATCACTTACACCCACTAACACTAACACACGCACCAAAACACGAATAATTATTCTAATTTGAACATGTGGTCCAAAAACTCCAACCCACAAAAACATAAGTTCATATTTGAAGGATAAATGATTTTTTTCTAGTGGCAAAAGCCCCATTTAATCACATTTTGAAAATGTAATTTTAAAAAAATTTAATTTAGATCTAGTTTTAGTTTTAGTTTGCGACGGGCTGTTTTCCGCAACTCCACGTCTATGCGCGTATTTTGCGTGTGGGCAGGAATAATGTGATTATTCGAGCCATGAGATCTCCCCGAAGAAGCTCAACAGTCCCTTGATGTTGCATGCAACTTCGGGGAGTGATCCCGGCGTGCCGAGATGTTTAGCCCTGTACGTAGCGACCTCCGGACATTTCAGTAGCACGTGGGCCGCCGTTCCTTCCTCCCCCATACATGCCCTGCACAGGGGACTATCTGTAACACCTATAGTAAATAAATGTTTGTTAAAGGTGCCATGTCCTGTGATAGCACTAGTTACTATCCTGATCTGCGGCTTGTTCAGTCTCATTAGAACTTTGGTTAAGCGACTGTTTATTACAGGTAGGGCCTCCCTAGCTTGTCTACAGTCTACTGGATTTTTCCAAAGCTGAGCGTGTTGATTAGTGAAGTGTCTACGTACCATTGAACGAACGTTACCAAAGGGGATTGGTATGATTGGTTCCGGCCCTATAGTGGCCAGAGCCGATCCTCTTCTGGCCAGTTCGTCCGCTGCATCGTTGCCTCTGGATCCACTGTGTCCCTTTTATCCATTGCAGAGTCACATTGTTGTTTTTACATACCTCATTTAATCGTTGATGGCATTCATATATTAGTCCCGAGTTCACCCCATTGCAACTCAGAGCTTGTAGTACCGCCCTACTGTCGGTCAGTATTCTGATGGGGAAGTCATTAACCTTCCTAGCATCTATTGCTATGGCCGCTTGAATGATACCCATACATTCCGCCTGAAAGACCGTGTTATAGGTACCCAGCGGTGTGCATATGTGAATATTGAGGTCTTCAGAGAAAGCTCCAGAACCTACACCTTCATTTGTTTTAGAACCATCGGTGAAAATTCTAAGCTCTTTTGGGCTTAATCCTTCCGGCTGGCTGTTTTCATTTGATTGTATCTTGTATTTCTTATCGAAAACAAATTGTTTAGGAATCCTACCGTATTTGGCTTGTAGGATAGGAATTTCTGAGTAAATTCTATCAATTATGCCTGTATGAGGGACACTATTCTTACTCCAAAGATTTAGGGTCTTGAGTCTGATGGCAGCTAAAGTCGCTTCTTGTTGTATATGTAGATGAAGCGGAGTTAGCTCCAGCATCGCTTCCAAGGCTGCTGTTGGCGTAGTTCTTATGCAGCCTGTGGCAGCCATACATGCCAGTCTCTGGTAGCGCTGAAGCTTCTTAATTGTGGTGGCTTCATTGGTCTTGGTCCACCATACCAGAGCGCCGTATGTGATCATGGGCCGGATTACAGTTTTGTAAAGCCACAGTATGATTTTTGGCGTCAGTCCCCATCTTTTGCCAATGATGTTTCTGCATTGCCAGAAAGTTATACTAGCTTTGTTGATTTTGTTTTCTATGTGTTTATTCCAGTTAAGTTTGCTGTCCAAGGTAAGACCTAAATATTTTACCTCAGAGGATAGCTGGAATTTTGTGCTGAAAAGACTTGGAAGATGATAGTTATTCAGCATTCGTTTTTGTGTGATCTAGATTTAGAATTTAGATCTAAAAAGTTGGATAATTTTTGTACAAGACGGTCCAACTTTACTCCATTACTTAACACATACTTGGAGAAAACCTTCTTAATTGAGAATTCTGAAAAATTAAAAAATATTCATAACTCCTTCAAATATTAAACGAAATATTTTGATCTTTGAATAACCATGCAGCCAGACAATTCGTATCGGAGAAACGCAGCAGTCTTCCCTACTTCAAGAAACTTAATTATCATCACAGCCCTTCACAAGTCCATTGCTGAACATAAGCCTCCCTTAAGGAATGCAACAAAGTAATTTATTCAACATTATTTATTAAAATTTAAGTAGTCCTTTCAAGACGGTGCTTATGAAGGAGAGGCATCATGGGCGCAGCAATGACATGTTTGGAGACTGTTATTTTATAATTAGTTTTAGTATAAATGCTCTCTGCTATATTGTTTAAGATGTTAAGACGCACTGAGACCGTAATAATTGTAACTGTCAGTAAAATTATTCCAAATTTACCTTTCAGTAATACGAACATATGCTGTTATCGAGGTGACCGGATTCTCGCTGGAGCACATGTCACGGCTTCTGGCCGTGGAAGGCAAGATTGAATCTGCACCCAAAAACTTCTCAGTTTATGTGAGTTAGGAAATGTTTTCATTCGTTTTTTTATTGTTACTAGCGAAATCCCGCGATACCAAGCGTGATTTTTATATTACATAGAACCTTTTTTAATAAATATTATTTATGTGGTAGAGCCATGCTGCAGATATATTAGTAGTATAGTTGTAGCAGGAATGGGTCGGCTCGACCGGGGCAGGACCACGCTCTCACAGAATACCAGCGTGAAATAGTAGCATAATGCTGCTGTGTTTTGTATGGTGAGTGTAGAGAACTGGCGACCCTTTTTACTGGAAACGAGGCATTCCATATATTCCTCACGGGTGACAACGCATCTGCTTTTTGGTTTGCAATCGAGGATAGATGTAGATGTCTATGGGCCGCAGCGACCACTTACCATCAGGTGGACTGTGTGCTAATTTGTCACCCTATCCTATATAAAAAAATATTATAATAATTATCCCAGTTTGCCCATTTTTGTTAGTATGAGTTGATTTCTTAGTAATAAAATAACTTGTTAAATAATAATAAATAATTGTGTATTAGATTAGATAGGAGAGGAAGAAACGGCGGCCCACGTGTTGCTGAGATCGCTGCATTCAGGGCTAAACATCTCGACACACCGGGATCACTCCCCGAAGTTGCTTGCAACATAAAAGGATTGTTGAACTTTAAGGATTGTTGAACTTCTTCGGGGAGATATCATGGCTTTCATATAATAATTGCGTGATTCCTGCCCACACGGAAATTACGCGCTTAGACGTGGAGTTGCGGAAAACAGTCTGTCTTTATCTTGTGTATTTAATCGACCAAAGGTGGCAAAGTCCACCCTATCTATTATCATTCCCAAGACTCCACTAGTACTCACCAGCAGTCGTAGCATCATCGAGACAGGCTTAATGCTCTGCAAAAGCGTGGTAATCCCAATAAATCCCTAAAGATATTATATTGAACCCTAAAAGCATTGTACAACTTTTGGGAATAGCCAACTCCAAACAAAGAAGCATTGTCAGCTCTGAGAATATAGATGGTATACCTGTTTTTAGCATGGAATACACTTGTGAGTGCACTTCTGCTTAGCGTCAGAAATAATTAATAGTCTCCTGGCTAAAAAGCTTCATATTCTATAGAAGGGCACTACCATCAAGTTTTTATTTATTTAAATGTCTCTCACTTGTAGCGTTTGGTCATGAAATAACTACATCAGTGACGGGCAGCACCATTAAAATGCTTATTTCTTGTACTGCCATCGTTAATCCGCCTCCCTAGCGTCACAATTACGGCAAATACTTTCTTCCAAATCTGAGGCCTGTGTCCAGCAGTCGTGCCAGCCTTTACGGGCTGGTGATGATGATGATAACCTAATGGGTTAGTTTGTTACTGTGTTGTGCCCAGAAATGAATGTTTGTTTGCAGGCTGTTTGTTTATGTGCAATTTAAATATGTAAAATTTCTTCATAACCAACCTTAACCATTATAATGCGAATACTGCCAATAAACAATTGCAGGGTCTCCACGGGGAAATGGATCCGGAACCGCATCTGTTCGGCAATTACATGTACGACGCAAACGGCACTGCTATTCAGTACTTTCCGGTTAAATATCCGAAAATGGTCAATATCGGCGGTGTGGAGTATCCGGTCGCTTACGACATTATCGAACTAAGAATCGAGAGTAACCACGGCAACCCAACCTACACGTGCGTGTACAGGTTTCGTGTCCATGGCAACCCGCTGTCGGATATCCGGCGTGCGACAGAAGACAGCATTAACGAGAGCGGGACGTAGTGTTAAACAAAATTAACAGTTATTTTGGAACAATGGACTTATAAAATGAAAACTAACTGGTGACTTAAGATTTTAGGAATGTGAATTTATCAAACTATGTCTGGAAATGGTAAGTTAAATATAGTGACTCGGGACATCAAACATTGTAGTGACACGTATGATAAGTGACAGGAATGAATTTTTAAGAAACTTCGACCATTTACGTCCAATTTGTGTGACCATTCCTAAAAACAATAAACGTAAATATGTCTGAGTGGCCTTAAAATGCGTAATTGATTATATTAAGTAGATATGAGGTTCAAAGTACAAAATTATTGTTGTTAGTAACTTGCTATTTATTTGAATAACAATTTTAGTAAACGAACCATCATGATAATCTTGTGTAATTTTTTTTAATCTGCACAATACCCGATGAGAAAATACGCTTAGTTTGGATTTATATTTTATCTGTATTTATAATCATTTTAAAGTTTTATCGTGTTTTTTAGATTTTACATAAAATTAAGGTTTCGATTGTAATATTTTAGCGTTTAGTATATTAAGATGTAGACATATTTTTTTCTTAATTAATTTAGCACGGGACTTGTCAAATTATTAAAAAGTTAGCTTATAAAGTAATAGCCCTATGATTTTCATTTATTCTTTTTTCGTAACACTTACACAATCTCTTTTTTTTTCTATACTATTTTAATCAATTGGTTCTCATTTCCCATGGAACATGAAATTCATCGGCCAAAAAAATCTTACTTGCTCCATACAATATTTTTTCCTAAATTGTTTTATAGAATGTACATTTAGATAAAAACAAAATATATTTGCTTAAAACAACATGACTGGCAAATTTTTTTGGAAAATTAAAAAAATCTTTGTATGAAACTTCACGTGAAACAATTTGGGGAAAAAATGATTCTGATTTTTTCATGTAATTTATGACATCACTAAAGCCGGTACTCAGAGACAATCGCGAGTTTAAACTAAAACTCCAGTGTCAAAATTGTGTAACTTAGGGTGGTATACCATCCATAGTTTTTTTTTACTTTTCAGTTTTTATGAATTTTACTTAAAGAAATACGAGAGCCGTATAGCTTGCCGTACGATTTTATCCGGCACAGAAGCAACACGTGTACGATTCCCGCGAAATTCTGCTTAGATTTAAATAAAATAAAAAAATATCCCCAACAATAATTTTATGTGTGAAGTCGGTCATCAGTGAGGGTCAGCGTAGCGAACTTTTTTCCCCAAAAGCCTTTGCGGCCTGTGGTCAGTAGTTGAATTTTAGGCTCACAGAATACCGGCGTAAAATAGCACTATAATGATGCTGTGCTTCGTACAGTGAGTGTAGAGGACCGGAGACCCGTTTTACTGGAATCCACAGCATCCACTTACCATCAGGTGGACTGTGTGCTCATTTGTCACCCTTATCCTATTTAAAAAAAGCCTTTTGATGGAGACTATTATTATATGGAGTTTGAGCTTAAGCTAGAGACTATCTCTTAATATCGGCCTAGAAAGTGAGGTCGAATGAAATTCATTTCTAGGAGACAAATAAACATTTTATGAGTTTTATCTGATGACGTCATATTCCATTGACAAATGGGAACTTCCCCTTTTTAATCTACTTCTCTATCTCTGTATTCTTTTCACTTTCCTAAAACAAATAATGAAGTGTAGTTTCAATTTCCATACTGAGGTTTTTGAGGGCGTTAATATTTTTAAAATAAGTTAATACTTACTAGATACTACCGACGCCTCCAATGTTCTGCTATACTAATTGCTTATATGAATGCGCTTGAAGTGCCATTCTATCGGACATAGCCATAATGCGAATTGATTATCGTATATGACGTCATTACGCCTTGGTCACGTCGGAAAGCCAATCACGACTACGCGACGTGAGAATCAAATAAAACAATTATTATGTCATTGTAAAATAAAAAATCAACTATGCTAAGAGAATACTTTGGCGGCGTTAAGTCCCGTAAAAATCGACTCTACTGTTTTTTCCTTTGATTATGTGATACTAGAGCAAATATTTTCTCGTTTTTTTTTTACAAACCAGTTATTTAAAAAAATTTGGAACCTTCTAAAATTACTAAAACTGCAGAGTTACATCGCCGTTACTAGACATCCAGCGAACTAATTTAATGGACACATAAAAAATAAAAGGAAAACATGTAGACATTGCCATAATCCTTCTCATATTCTTCTTGAAAAAAAAATACGATTTAGTCCAATTTTGGAGGAGTAAACAGGAGAACACGGGATGATGATTTCGTCAATTTATGACAGACATAATCAGTTCAGTCTGCAATTATCTGCCCCGGTTATCTAAGCACAGCGCGACTACTATAGATTTAAAAATCTATTCTTCAAATTTATTGCAGCTCATATGTATGTATATTCAGTTAAAAAAGCTACAGCTTACTATGCTACTTTTTTCATATAAAATTCATAATAATTATAAAATTAAGAATTTCTTGTTCCTCACACGTGATGGCATAATAGTATCTTGTAGTATTGAAGGCAGATAAATACACCAAGACAGCTTTTTAAAAGATGTTAGTGTTGATTTTATTTACAGTATAGTATTTATAAGTATCTTTGAAAATTAAGCAGAACGCGAGCTAACTGAATAGATATCTGCGACAGGTCCCTGCTCTAGGCTTATGTATTTTAATAATTTTAGTGAGGAGCTAGTCCATGTAGAGGTTAATAAATTTTATGCTAATTTAAATTTAATATAAGCGTTTGCCCACTACTTAGGTGTTATTGTCGAAATACTAACTTAGAATTTAGCGAAATCCCAACGTCACTGCTAACTTCAGATCTTATTAGTTTATAGAATAAATACTTTGTTCAGGTTTTGAAAATACAGTCTAATAGTCTTCTACTTTTCAAAACGTACCATTTTTCTTGTATGTGTTAAAAACCTTTTTCGTATTCTATTCAATGTATTCATTTCTTACTTTGCGTCTAAAATATCAAAAATATTTGTCTTCCAATTTCTTCAGTTTTAACCATTTTTAAATAATAATAGTCATTTACGGATTTTATCGTATATAACTTTTTTATATATCCGATGTTTCGAGCACTTGAGCAGACCCATGGTCACGGGGGAGACAGTCCTCGAAACGTCGTCGGGTAGGTATATAAAAAAGTTAATATATGTGATAAAATCCGTAAAAGTTAGTTTTATTTAAATGCATAGAGTTCTCGTAAATATAACAAATCATTTAATTATTCTCTTTGTTTTTTAACAATAACACATATTTTACAAGGTTAGATTGCATTATATACCTTTTTCTGGTTAAATTGTTTTAAACCACCTGGCAGCTTTATATTGTCAATAAAAATATATACATATAATAATGTCACATAATATTTTAAGGAACATTTACTGATACATATATTCAAAGTTACCATGTTTTATCCTATGTGTTTTGCTTGTCGAATACTAAACTATTTTTATACAAGTTTACCAAAAATATAGAATTCTGACATTGGTTCATGTTTTCTGAAATTCTGTTATCACACATTCAAATATATTATAACATCGCCAAGTCACTTTGTTCCATTATTCTGTTCTGGAAAATAACTTATTTAACTTATATTTAAAAAGTTAAGTTATTTTGACAGCGGGCTGTTATAAATAACTATTTTGATTTTTGATACGTTTTGTCATGTTAAAACTTTTTTATAGGCCAACTTTTTACACATTTGCTGTTACTAACTAAAGTGTCTAACCCATTTATAATATCGCTTTATCACATCGAATTGTTTGTGATGTCCGCAATAAATTTGAAAAGCAATATTTTTGTTTAATTTATAATTCTTAGGTAACAATTCCAGAGAGCAGCACTGCTGCATCTGATGACGGTTTTGCATTCTGAACTGAAAGGCAATAAGGTAATGTAGTACAGGTTTTTATTACGTATATCAGGCACCAGTCTCTCACAACTTAGGTACCTGTCTGGCACTTTCGTAATATGTACTTAGCACTAAGAATATGGGTGCGTTTGGCAGAAAAAAGCGCTAGCAAGCGCTTGTAAGCAAAATGGCGATCGTAAGCGGTAAACGCTGTCAAATCGTAAGTAGCTATTTTCCTCCAGGACACGATGTTAGTTTTAACCGAGGAACCTAACCTAATTTAAATATATGTTTGTAAAGTATTCATATTAAAAACTTACCAATCATGAATTTTTAATAACATGTATATGTTTATTCACGTTATTATATTACTTAAAACTAATATTGCACAAAACAACTTATAAACTCTATTTCAAAACAAAAATTAAATAAGCAAAATGGCGGATTGTGTCAGCGCTACTGAAGTAGTAATCGTGTCCTGGCCGAAAACTATTTCAGCGCTTGTAAGCGCTTGCTAGCGCTTTTTTCTGCCAAACGCACCCTATCTATTGTGAAGAGAATTAATTCATAAAAAAATATCAGTAGGGATCTATCACTCGCTTAATGAGTAGTCATTAAAGAATTTGACGACTGGTGCCTAGAAACACTAAACTGCGCTAGAAGTTGCAATGAACCGGCCGTATGATATTAAACCGTCGATATTTGTAGTCAGTATTGTCATTGCCACGGCAATTGGGCAAATGTATATAAAAATCTACGACCTATATATAGCAGCAACTCTATCGTCTAGCAATCTACGGTAATTTTCTGGCATGTCTAATAGTAGCCAGGGTTTTGTTCATTTATATGACACTATAAATTTCGAAAAAGTTCTTGATTTTTATAAGTGGTAAACCCATGCAGGAAAAATAACCAATATAGGTCTGTTCGAACGGTGAAGGACCACGCTCTCAAAGAATATCAGGCTAAAATAACACCTCAATGCTCCTGCGTTTTCGTATGGTGAGTGTAGGGAACCTGTACCCTTTTTACCATAAATGAGACATTCCATCTTAGTCCAAAAGGGTGAAAATGCATATGCATTTTGGTTCTTGATCAAGGATGGAATTAGATACAGACAATGTCCACTTACCATCAGGTATGGTATACACTGAGCATATTTGTCACACTTAACTATAAACAAAATCGATTTGATCAAAAAATGGAATCCATGTACGAACCCAGGCCCCATAATGTAGACGACAGCCATATCCTGTCAATTTACAAGAGTCGGTTCTAGAATACTTTGAACAAACATTCAAGTATATGGAATGCTGCAGAAAGTTCAGCGTGTTCCAAAAGACAGTGGAAGCTATTTAACATAAATGGCTTGCATTTATAGCATTTTGGACCCATCCAACTTTAAATCAATGATCACCGCCCACGTGTTCATTTTTATCAGTGACATACTACAGATGATGCCATCATTATCAGATGATCTATAATTTTCACAATGAACATTGTAAGAGAGAGTCACGAAAACCCGTATCCCACGTGACAGTACACTTACCAACATCGGTTTAAGGTAAATGTGTTGGCCAGCATTCCTTTTTGTCATTCATTTATTTTCCTTCAAAAGCTGCTGGGGATGTCCTGATTGCAGATTATATTAGGTAGAGAATGTTCGAGTTCCCTAATAATATCAACAAAGAACCATGTCTCGTTGCCATCGCTTATCACTGTGTTCATTGTGTTCTCGCTTAATAGCAGACACATAAATGAAACAGTAGGAGTCATGAAACAACTAAACACTTGTGGGTATTTTAAACTAGGTAATATATAATCTAAGACTATAATATATGCCAATCGTTAAGAGCGCATGCCTAACACATCTGCCATCGGCATATACTAAAAGTATTGTAACTGCCTCGTTGGGTTTGAATACTGGGCCAAAATCAGTTATTCGGTTCGGTCTGTCCGGCAACAACCTATACATATTTTCCAAACGGATATAGGTACAACTATATCAGAAAGCCTAAATACACAAATCGAGATTCATTATAACAGAAGATTGCATTTTTTTATTTTTTTACGTGGTAGAGCCACGCTGCAGCTATATTATGGTTGTAGCACTAATGGGTCGGATCGACCAAGGAAGGACTCTCTCAGAAAACCAGCTTAAAATAGCAGCTTATAACTGCCGTGTTTTGTATGGTGAGTCTAGAGATCTGGAGACCCCTTTTCACTGGAAACCAGGTATTCTATCTTAGTCCTCAGGGGTGACAACGCATCTGCGTTTTGATTCTTAATCGAGGATAAATGTAGATGTCTATGAGCCACAGCATCCGCTTACCATCAGGTGGATTGTGCGCTCGTTTGTCACACTTATTCTATAAAAAAATTATGTAAGCTGAATCAACATAAATATATGTGGGTAGGTTTATTTCTATGAACACCATCTCCAATGTGTGGAAGACCCATCAAAATATTTTCTCACGCTTTGACATGTTGTGCATGTGGCTAAATATCGTGAGTATGGAGTGTAGATGTAATCGTGAGCTTATCATAGGCACAGATATTCACTAATTTTATTTCGAGTGCTGCAGTCATTTGCAAAGAATAAAATTATAGTATTGACTATACTCTATGTACCTACCTATACCTACACTTCAAGTTTTTTAACCCTTAAGTGCATATTGTATCAAAAATGATACTATGATATTATCTATTCATAATTTTGTTAAACTACGTACACACAACTACGCTGTATGTTAAATATGTCCTATGCCTAATCATCTTTTAGAATGTTTAAGTAATCGATGACCATTACCTAAATAATTTGGTGGTAACTATGAAAACTTTTTTTACTGTCTGTCATAACCTTTTTCGTGGGATTATAAATTTTTATTGATTTATTTTGGAGTGATTTTAACACAAAAGCTGACCCGGAAAAATATTAAAAATACAGGTTAGAGTATTGTTTCTTTGTTAAACACATATTTCAAGTGAATTTTACTGGCGTTTGATAAAAAAAATGATAATTTTAGTTGTATCAAAAATGATACATTATGCAGTTAGTAGGTCCCGTTTGTACATTTTCGCTACTATAGTAGGCTTGTATGATATGTGATTGTTATATGTTTTTCCTCACTTTTGGAGCATGGAAAAAAGAAAAATAAAAGATAATAAGATTGAAGACCTTTTAGCAATATTGGAAGGTGGATTTTTATCGGAGGAGAAAGCAGAGTCTGATGATTATGAATTAGATCGTGATGATCTAATATTGATGAAATTCGTGCTGCTTTAGAAAATCACGGGGAAGAACAAATGGGTTACGGTGATTTCCATAAGCGTCAAATCCGGGACGAAGGTGTACCACCTCTTGTAAATGACGAAAATTATTTGCGAAATGATGATAATCCTCCTTTAGTGAATGAAGGTAGTGGTTTTGCACAAAATATTCCCAACAGGTGTCATATTACGATTGAAAATGCTAGACTCAAATGAAGGAAACATTCCTCAGAGTTTTGGGAAGATAGCATTCGTTTTCAGAACGAGACAAAATATTCTCTCTAAGTTATAGCCCTAGAAAGTCCATATCAATTTTTCAGTTATTTTTTTACTCCTGATTTTTTAGATAAGATTGTAAAAGGTCTACTCGATATTCAATCCAAAAAAATCCCGACCGACCAGATCCAGTCACAAAATCAAAGTTACAATAGTACTTGATGGGAATTAATATCTATGTCAGTTTTTCATCATCCAAATATAGAAGCTTACTGGAATAAAAAATACGGAATTATGCCAATTATACAGAGTATGACATTATATAGATTTGAAAAAATTTGATATATATTAAGGTAGAACATCTGAATGAGAGTTTCCAGCATTCATAGACCAAAGGCTTTCCACAGATGAACACATAAAAATGTGTGCAACGAAAATGGGCCACTTCCTAAAACAATACCTCCCAAATAAACCTCACAAATGGGGGGTTCAAATTTTATATGCTATGTTCACTGCTAGGGTATGCATACAAAATTATAATTTATACAGGAAAAGATAATGAACCTATGATGGAGAACGAACCATATCTGGGAGTGGTTGGGAACACTGTTGTAAAATTGTTGAGGATTATCCCACGCAAAGTAAACCACATTGTTTACTTTCACAATTTCCACACCTCTTTATCTCATATGTATTACTTAGCTAAGAAAGGGATATTATGTCTGGGAACTATTCAACAAAATCGGTTAGGTAGGAAAGTTACTTAACTTACCGTACAAAAAATGACGTTAATACATAATGTATCAAAAATGATACAAACTTTTTTTTATTAAAATTACTTTAAAAAAATGAAAATTATTTTTTTCTTTATTTTTCCCAAATTCAAGACCTAAACATCTAAATTATATGTTTAAATTAGTTAAAACAAAAAGTTCATGCACTTAAGGGTTAAGTCCTATGAAAATATTAACTATGTACCTATATAATGGATTTACGATATAATAAAATGACATAAGGGTATAGGTAATTTTCGTGCCGATAAAAATAAAAGCAATTAGACATTGAGATTTCTATATTTTCCAGACCTACCAATTTATCTTACATATTAGCTCTTCCTATCAATGAATAAAACATTTATCTGGCAATCTAAATTTCCAGTATGGAACTGATAAGCCAGATTTAAGATCTTCATATTTTTAAATAAATAAAGTACTCGTTAATGATTTTTGTACTTGTTTTTGTCTAATTAAACCTTAAGCATCCAGTGGATTGACCGCTTCTTTACTTCCTGTAATATTGTTTGTATGTAGGTGTACCTACCTACTTAAATACTCTCACATGTTAAATACCTTATAATCTTAAGACGCAACTTACAACCCGAATGAACCATAGAAATATAAATGAACATGACAATGAACTAACTAGGTACATACCTACTTAGGCGAACTGTAAAGGTAAAATACTTTAACCGCAAAACTCGTATTTTTCAGCAGATTTCATTAGATCAAATTATCGTTTCACTTATATATTTATGTAGCTATCACCTACCTAGTAATTTTTAACTCCCAGGGGAATTCAAATTATAGACAGTTGTTTTTGGAAAGCTAACAGCAAAAGCATGCGTCATTATGAAAGTAGTCTGAGCTTGTCATGTGAATGTATGTATACCTTAACCACGAAAGTATCATTTATTAGTGTTATGAATGTATTGGTATATTCTAGTAATGTAGGTAATTAAAATTCTAAATAAATTATCAAAAATGCAACAATCTAATACTAAACTTCATTGACTAGGAGAATATTAATGCAATGCCTATTACAGTTTTATTTTTAGAATGTTATGTTACATTACTCTGCATCCAATTCTACATAGGTTCTATTTTCGTACGTAGGTCAATGTCGAGCATTGCACTCTACACGTAACGTCATGTGTTGACTAACTATGGGGTAAAATAAAACGTCAGATTAAATTTTACGGATTTTTTTATGTATTTTCATTATCTTTTATAATTTATAAATGACCTAGTAAGAAAGTAGTCTTATCAGTTTCAGCACATACTCGTGACATTACAAAAAGATCCTTTGGCGAGTGCAGTACCGAGGCCGGCGGTCGAGGCGCGCCCGCGGTGCCGCGCTCCGTCCTGCCGTTCACTATTTACGATTTAATTACATATAATATCTTACGTACAATTAAATTAACGGAGATTACAAGCCTGAGTTGAGCAGCCGGCCGCGGGTCCGGCCGGGCGGCGGCGACACGCGGCCGCTTAGAAGCACTTCCTGTGCACGATCGAGGGGCCAGACTCGTCGTACTCCTGTTTCGAGATCCACATCTGTTGGAAGGTCGACAGGGACGCGAGGATGGAACCTCCGATCCATACGGAGTACTTCCTCTCCGGGGGTGCGATGATTTTGATCTTCATTGTGGAAGGAGCGAGCGCTGTGATCTCCTTCTGCATACGGTCGGCGATGCCGGGGTACATGGTGGTACCGCCGGACAATACTGTGTTGGCGTATAAGTCCTTACGGATATCAACGTCGCACTTCATGATCGAGTTGTACGTCGTCTCGTGGATGCCGCAAGCTTCCATACCCAAGAATGAGGGTTGGAAGAGGGCTTCTGGGCAACGGAATCTCTCGTTTCCAATAGTGATGACCTGACCGTCGGGAAGTTCGTAGGACTTCTCGAGGGAGCTGCTGGAGGCAGCGGTGGCCATCTCCTGCTCGAAGTCGAGGGCGACATAACAGAGTTTCTCCTTGATGTCACGCACGATTTCTCGCTCGGCTGTGGTGGTGAATGAGTAACCTCGCTCTGTGAGGATCTTCATTAGGTAGTCTGTGAGGTCACGGCCGGCTAAGTCCAGACGGAGGATGGCATGGGGCAACGCGTAACCCTCGTAGATGGGCACCGTGTGTGAGACACCGTCACCGGAGTCAAGAACGATACCGGTGGTACGACCGGACGCGTACAGTGACAGTACGGCCTGGATGGCCACATACATGGCGGGTGTGTTGAAGGTCTCGAACATGATCTGAGTCATCTTCTCTCTGAAACAAAAAGAAAGGGGCGGCAATTAATCAGCTGTCTTTAAGAATGCATCAAATTATCACTGGATTATTAATTCTCCCACGACCTACCTGTTGGATTTGGGGTTGAGGGGAGCCTCTGTGAGCAGAACGGGGTGTTCCTCGGGCGCGACTCGCAGTTAATTGTAGAAGGCGTGGTGCCAGATCTTCTCCATGTCATCCCAGTTGGTGACGATACCATGCTCGATGGGGTACTTGAGGGTGAGGATACCTCTCTTGCTTTGCGCCTCAATGCCCACGTAGGAATCTTTCTGTCTTATGCCCACCATCACACCCTGGTGGCGAGGGCGACCCACAATTGAGGGGAACACAGCACGCGGGGCATCGTCGCCCGCAAAACCAGCTTTGCACATACCGGATCCATTGTCCACTACCAGCGCGGCAACTTCTTCGTCGCACATTGTGAATTAGTCTGTAAAAAAATATTTAAGAAGTTAATTATTTTATAAAAGCATTTTCTACGTTTTGAAAACTTTTAAGACATTTAAATCAGTTTGAAAGTGGAATCATTTAAACCATTTTGAATGGTCTTGAACGTCACTTTCAAATTACAATATTTGTATGCAGTGGGCGAACACGATTCCATTCTATGCTGAGTGGGCGAAGTTGCAAATCGAAACCAAATAAGGCTGGGTCTAACGAGAAGCCACGAGGAGGGGACGTGGCGTGGTTGACATAGCAATGTTAAAACTAGAAATTATATTGGATTTAAATTACGAACGACTAGTAATTCTTTAAGAGAAAGAAAACAAAATAGAATTAAGGCTCATTGAACCCTTTTTGAATCCGGACCACGCCCTACCGCAACCGGCATCCAGGGTGTCGGCGCAAGCTTGCGATGGACCTATCCCTGTCACTAACCCACATCCACTACAGCACTATTAATTTAATCACAACCACTTCACTCACAAATACAACACATCATTTGCATCAACTTACTTTAAATTAAATAGTCCTACTAAATAAATAAATTATATCTCTATTGCACAGCCTCGATTATGCTGCACAACACTTCAACTCGAGCACACTTCGTGGAATGTCGGCGATCGCGGCAAGCTGAGTATATATGAGGCTGGTTATCGGGCTCCCCTTCCCGCGACCGCGTCGAGCTCTCCACCAATCGCAGAAATCGTGAGTTTTCATAACCATATATGGTATTGCGCTGCAGGGAGCCTGCGCGTCCCCTCCGCGACCCCCGGCCCTCACTCACCGCCGGCTGATAGCATAGCACGCTTCTTGTCTTGTTCTTGATAACGAGATCCCAACCAATTCTCTCCAAATGTTATCCGCGCTCCTTCAGAATTTATCTACATTTTTCACATACACACCTACTATAGTTCAATTTTAATATTTAATTCAAAGAAGAAAATTTGTATTACCAGGGTAATTATATGGCAAAAATAAACTACATGATTATGAATGAGGTCAGACAACTATTCAAGGTCAGGGACTCTAGCTCTCCCACAAACTACAAATTAATAGGTATAATCAAAATAAGTTACATACAAAAACATTATTAGTCATTACAAAGATAACTTATTTAAACAAATTTTGAACAATTATATAAAAATTAAATTCATGCAAATAATATAATGACTTACCAGCAACAGAAAACAATACTTCAACAATCAATGATTTGTGAGAAATGCCGGCCGGTTGCGGTTCTTGTCGCTCGCTTGTTTAGCGGAGGTCGATCTCGTTCTGCTTCAATAGAATCTACCGGTACGCCAGCGCTGCGAAATTATCGACTCGTCCAACAGACCCCTGTGGGTTGTGGGCTGTGGGTGTTTAATAATTTGAAAATTGACAAAACCGTTGATCGATAATTCTGAAATAAGTTGCGAAATGTCACTTTAAATAGATGTATTGACAAGTGACAATATAAGATGTCACACAATAGTTGTCTTTTTTAAATTAAGAATGTTTTTTTTGGCTTATTTATTTAATGGACTCGACCGATCTCCCCACTCGCAGCAACCGACGGTTTTACCATATATGGGCATAGGGAAAATCCTGTGCTCTGATTGGTTCTTGCTACAACGGTCACCGCAAGTATAGTACGTAATACACACTCAACATGTATAAAATATGGTAAGTTGCGTTTGTGTTTGTGTATAGTAACAATATGATTGTCAATTCATTCAACCCATACCGTAGCGTAGCGATATTGTGGTTATATGAACAAATTATGAATGCCGTATTCACCTCTACACTTTTCGGTGTCATCTTACTCTTTATTTTGTTCAGGTAATGATTTAACCCGTTCCTGTCAGCTGATCGTTTTTTTTTACTTTTTAGCGCTTTTTTGGAGTATACTAATGTAGAAATTGAATAGTTATAAAATAAAACAGGTACTTAGTAATTAATCCAATTTTCTTTTTTTTCATCTAGTTTCTGTTGATCTAATTTTAATTTATATGTGATGTTTTGCTACAAAATGTCTATCCGCTTAATGCTAGATCCATTCTTTTCCTAAAGCTAGTGTAATATTTTGAGACTAGATGATCTGAAGCGAACCGGGCCACAAAGCATGACAATTTATCGCATGTTATTGAACATTGAAAATGCAATTAAATGCTTAGTCATTTGTCTCTGTGACGAATTAGGCTTGATTGACTCATCTCATTACAATACATACATATAGGTATACACACTGGCGCATGCGTAGTGCGAACTACGACGAGCGATGAGATGGTCCTCGCGCGGTGGACCCCTAGCCCCTAGCGACGTTAACAAGCTTGCGAATTTGAATATATAGCACTGCGGAGGTCAAGGACACGAGTTAGATTAAAAATAGAGATTACTGGTACGTCAGGAGCTAAACTTTTTATAAAATAATAAACGGGTAAAGACCACGCTCACACGGAATACCGATCCAGCGTGAAATAACAGCGTAATGCTGCAGTTTCAAATAATGAGTGACGAGGAACGGACACCTGTTTATTGGTAACGACTTAGGATAACAAGCTAACGGGGGTATCTATTTCTATCTTAAATTTTAATTAATGTGAAATAACAAACAAACTTATTAACTTTCCATCTACCTGATAGGAAGTAGCTACTTCAGCCCATGGTCACCAGCCACTAAATTCCAACGAAGTAGGGCTACAGAAGCGTTGTCACCTCTGAAAAGCTTGTAATTATACTTCAGACCGGAATTAGGCAGAATTAGGTGAGAGGTTGGCACTACACTGACTGACTACAACTGTTATGGTCGCCACACACGGTCGTTTCAACTGATCATTCCAAGTGATCAGTTCAAACTAAAACTGTTGATATATTTTTAAATATTGAATTTTCTACATATCGATAATTATAAATATATCAATATCGGAGTTTTATATATAAGTTTATTTTTCGATATACCGAAAATCCAATAATTAAAAAAATATCAAAAGTTTAAGTTTGAACTGATCACTTGTAATGATCAGTTGAACTGAGTCAGTTCAACTGAACATGTGTGGCGACCGTTAAAACAGGACGAAAATTCAGATTTATTGAGGATTACCTCAACGTCTCAACGAACCTGAATTTTGATTTTTAACCGAGGATCCGTCCCATAGCCTCAATTTACCATCAGGTAGGTACACTGTGTGCTCATTTTTCACACATACTTCTATAAAAAATACTGGCATATAATTTCTGTACTGTGTATTTTTTTTAAAAGAATAAGAGTACAAACGACCACACAATCAATTTGGGCATGCGGATGCTGTGGTCCATAGACATCTACATAATATGTCCTCGATTAAGAATAAAAATGAAGATGCGTTCTCCTTTCCATGTCTGAGATGCAATGCCTTTTTCCAGTAAAAAGGTTATCCGGTTCTCTACACTCACCATCGCTGTTACCTGTATTCTGTGAGGGCGTGGTCCTACCTCGGTCGAGCTGCAGCATGACTAACACGTTTAACTTCTTACCCTATTATTTATTCTGTGGTTTAATTATATAAGAAATAAAGATTTGGTCTAAAGGTCCTAGATACCAGGCCATAAACTCCAAAAAAGAAAAAAGATTTTTATCAACATGCTTCAGAATGTAACCTACATCAAGTTTAAAAACTTTATTATCAATTTTATATCATTGACAATTTTTTATTGTTGCTTATACTAAGGATTTATTACTGCACTTAGTTTCCGCTCTAAAAGCAATAGATCACACAATGAGTCAACGGAGGAAATTCGATACAAAGGTGTAGAATTATAAACGCCATTGTATTATAAAATGTATTCGGTGACAGAATACATATCATGTTCTTGAACTGAGTCATTATTATGCATAGAGATATTATTAAGGGTCTCTAAACTGCGATATTATGTACTACGTACGTATAGTACCTACATTATACTACTGCTTCAATGTTATTATGATGTATTTTTTTTTACTTCAGTGGTGGCGTGACGTCCGCACATCCCATAATATTTGTTTTGGAACCTACGACATCATGATTTATTATTTTTGTTTGGCCAATAATAATTTGAAGGCGGAAAAAGATAGGAGGGTGCCATGTTCTACACGGAATTTTTAGACAGAAAAGTAGTCGATCAACTGAATTTTAAATCAAAATTCAAATAATAGCGTGTAAAACTGTAGTAGGTACTATAATATATTGCATGTCAATTTTCATTCTTCGGTTTGGCTGGGCTTGGCGCAACGCGACGGACGCACGCGTCTAGCCGGGCCGGGTGAGGCATTGTAGCTGAAGGGGTGGAGGCGGGAGGGGAATCGATCGTTCGCCTGCGCGCCGCGGACTCGCCCTTGACCCTCGCCAAGTCGTCTCACACCCGTACCACACGGGTGCGGGCATAGATAATACACTATATATCAGAGGTGCGGGTGGCTACTATAGTGTAAATAATAGTACTACATAGAGCCCATATTTTTATTATGTATATATATGTGCGAGGGTTATTTACAGAATTTAGCCAATTATAATTATAACAAAAAGTAAAAACCGACTTAAAATTGTTAAAAAATATGTCTTTTTATTTGCTAAACTTAGAGGTGAATTTTTTTCAAACTTATATGGGACGAAAGTAGAAGTATAACTTATTTAATAAAAAAAGAATCATAAAATTGTTTCACAATCTGCGAAGATATCGCGTAACATAGGTACATACAAAAAAAGAACATACACTCGAATTGAGAACCTTCTCCTTTTTGAAGTCGGTTAAAATTGAATACAATAGCCTTAATCAAAATATCCTTTATTAAATAACTTATCATAAGGGTTGGTATACTCAATGCGCAGAATCCTATATTAATTATGTAGCTTGAGTAAAAACCCGTAAATCATTCCCATTTCCTTTCTTCCAAAATTTCAAGTAAATATTAACCGCCTACCCGCCTCTCAAGAATAAGTTTCTTTTTGTGTTTAAAATGTATATAGGTGAGATTTTT